GATTTTTACAATGAGACTTTTGATTCAACTATTAGCCCTGTTTGATCTTCACAAGAAACCTATGAGAAATATGCTAGCTGGGACTGCGGTGCTAGAGTAAATAAAACAAAATTGGAGACTTGGGTTTTAGTGTTTTCTAAGAGAACCAATCATCACGGTATAACTATGTATAGACCAGAGGTGGGTTCCGGCTGCTGCTACTGCCAATTTGCTCAGGGATTCACTGTGTGTGTGATAGATGCGCAATAATAAAAAATGCTTCTGTGCATGTGCAGAAGCAAAAAACAAGATGGTGCCACTTATGGTGCCGCCAAGAGAACCAGTTCAGGGGAGTGGCAGGCCAAGTTGCTACCTATTTGGCCGAACCAGTTCAAACCGATAGGAATCCACCTCTGGTATAGACATTATTCATTTGTTTGACTTCATTTCTCCTTTAGTCAATATGAGATATCCAGTGGTGGGTTGAAGAGCCTTTGGCGCTTCCGTGCATGCAATGGCGTGTATGGCACCTGCATGATGCTCTAGCAAACAGCTAGTGCATCGTGGAGGCTTGCGGAGGCATCACAGGCAGGTACAACGTGTGCATGCATACATGTGGGCAACGCCAGGCCCTTTCCAACCATACCGGTTGGAATGGGATCCAGAACCCACCTCTGGAGACAGCATACATACATAATAATCCAGCAGTCTATTTTCTGGTGAGATCAATATGACGGCACGGGATTAAATGCCACCAATATGCGGACGACACACAACTGTATCTGTCCGCCCCGTGCCAACTCAGTGAAGCAGTAAAAGTGATGTGCCAGTGCCTGGAGGCTGTTAGGGTCTGGATGGGAACGAACAAGCTTGCACTCAATCCCGACAAGACTGAGTGGCTATTGATGCTCCCTCCCAAAAATGGTCCAGCTATTTCATCCCTTAACCTGGGGGGTGAAAGCATTCGCCCCTCAGAGAGGGCTTGCAATTTGGGAGTCCTCCTGGATCCACAGCTGACGTTGGACATCACTTGTCGGCTGTGACCAGGGGAATCTTTGCCCAGGTTCGCCCAAAGACCAATTCGATCGCACAGATTAGGCCTTCTCCGGATTCCATCTGCCAGCCAATGCGGGCTGGTGACCCCCCGGGGGAGAGCCTTCTCTGTTGCAGCTCCGGCCCTCTGGAACGACCTCCCCGTTGAGATCCAGACCCTTACTACCCTCCCGGCCTTCCGTAAAACTACTAAGTCCTGGCTGTTCCGGCAGGCCTGGGACTGTTGAAGTATCCAGCCCCACTTTAATTGTGAATATTGTTGTATTTTAAATTTTGTATTGTCTTATTTATCCCCATTCCCTTTTTTTTGTAAGCCACCTGGAGTCCTTTGGGAGTGGGCGGCATACAAAACTAATAAACTAACCAAACTAACTAAGTAACTTCTCTGCAACAAATACCTAGTGAGCTGGGTAAATCACTCTTAGAGTTCTAAATAGAATGTGGTCTAATAATATTTTAAATAAAGAAATATACATTTTATATTTGAGAATAGGCAGCCCAACACGCCAAATAGAAAGAGAGGGAGAGGGAGGGACAGAGAGAGGGAAAAAACTGCTTCTTGGAACTGCTATGAAGACTGTATTGCAGACATGAGATAGGTGGTGCCTATCCCTCTGTTGACAGAGGGCTGCTTAGTCTGTTAACATAAATGGTTTCTTTTTCCCCTCTTTTAAACCAATGGTCCACATTTTGGGTAGAAAGGACCTGTCTACTGTCTGCAATGCAGCTCTTGCAGCAATTCCAAGAAGATTCCACCCCTACTGGCTTTCTGATAGAAGTGACTCTGAGGGCACAGATAAACCCCTAAGTGGCCTCAAGAGCTCTCAGGGAGAGTGCTAACAACCAAATCACTGCAAAGAAATATGATCCTTCCAACACTTCCTTGCATCCTGTCAGAACTAACCCTTCCATTCCTCCCACCATCCTGCCAGACCCGATGAAGCTTCTTGAATGAAATGTCTTCTTCCTCATGGAAAAAACAGCCCAGTTGCCTTCTGAAACAGCATCTTTGAGACAGGCACAAATTGTGCTATTATAAGTATTTGCAATCCTCACAAATAACCTTTGCCTCACCACTGTAAGTCATTCATTTGTTTTCTTTTGTTCTTGAGACTTGTTTACCTATTTCTCAACAACTTTATTCCACTACAACTTTCTCAGTAATCCTCTTCCTTATTCTCTCTACATTTTCTTGTTTTATTAAACTATGAGAAGATTTAGTTTTTGGACATAGCATATTATGAAAACAGCAATTGTGCACTCCTAACTAGTGTTTAAGTGGATTATGTGAACCCAGATACAGACTGGTAGCAGTTAGCCCTTGTTCACTTAGTGGAAGAGATGGGAGAAAGTTAAGGTGACCAGATTTTCAGATTGGTAAAGAGGGACACCTTTGACCCGGGGGGGGGGGTGTTTGATAAAAAATTTTATACGGAGCAACAAAATTTTTCATACAACGCAAAAATAGTATTGTAATTTTTTTTT